ATACAGTGCATTAGGTGGGGAGTATGTCAAAGTGGACTATGGAACTTTCAATGCACCATAGCAGCATCCACATGGAAAATTAGTGTGCTGTATGTTCACATCCTAGCTTGCCACATGAACAAGCCTCATGGATCTGTAGGCCACAGATATAACAGTAAGTGTGTGCTGCAGAAAACTGTCTTATGCTGGTGTACACTAGAGCCCTGCATGGGATTTTTTTTTTTTTAAAGCCTGCTCCTGTCCCACCCTGCAATTCCCACTCCTCCATTGTTTCTTGCATTTTTATCCCACTCCTACCTTAAAACCCACAAGAGAGACAGATTCCTATATTCTACTGGGGAAAAAAACCTGTCAAATATATTATAAAAAAATATGGAATTCAGCTACAATTTTACCACCAAAGGAATAAAACAATAATTGCTTAAACCATCTAAAAATACTTTAACTCCTGGTATAATAAACATCAAATCTTTCTACCCCTCACTTAAATTTAAGTATTAAAAGTTTTAAAGTGTTTTCTTGCAAATTACCACAGTTGTGTGGCTTTTTGTTTTTTTGCCCACCCAGTCTCACCTACAACAAAGCTATTATGGCAGTGGGACCTGTGGGATCCCAGTCCCAGTGCAGGGCTCTGGTCTACACCATAGATACAGGGATGGGCAGGTTTGTGTAGTAAATGTCTGATACAGAAATATTTGATTCCTGATTATAGCTATGTGTGTGATAGTATGTTACCATAATGGTTCTTTGAGTAATTCTTAAATTATATTGTCCTATTAAGACTTAAATAATTGCCTTAACTGATATTTAAAGTATACATGTACTAGTTAAACACTTTAGTATGAGGCAATAACTCTTACCTGTGGAAATGTCTTACACACCCTTAGTGTTAGATTCTTGTTACCTCAGATTTTTCATCAGTTTAACTTTCTTCTGTTATTTTAGATTTGGTTATGGCAGCTGAGTCCTTACTATTTGAGGCTGCAAACATAGCCTGAGTAATACCTTCTATGCACAGTTTGTGCTTTGTAAAATCCTGAGTTAAAAACCTTGCATAATGTTGAGTAAAAGTTGAGGAATGGATTACTTTATCTATGATCACCTGTGTAAAGTCTGGGGGGGAGGAGGGAGAGTGTATGTGAGGTATAGCTTCAGTTCTTTATCTTCCCTCTACCTGCTACTATAATGCTGTGAAACATCAATTTTTGGGAAAAAAAATAGGATTTAGACACATCAACTTTGAAATATACATTATAACAATGGCTAAAATTTATGAAGAGACAGCCTAACATTTTGAGCTGCAGCACACATGTTTGAGGAAAGTTTTGGAACTTGAGTAGACTGCATATGTGCACTTTTAAAAATTTTTTATCCTTGAATTGGTCGATATACTGGAATAATCTTGCATTAGGAATTTAAAAATTAAGTGTCACTGTATCACTGTTATAAAGAATTGTATAAGAGGATTGGGAAAAATCTGTTTTAGATTATGACTTAAATTTCACATTAAATAAGTTTTAATGATTATCTACTTAATACTAGTACAAATAAGCTTCTGTAGATGATTAACACCTTTCAAGAATAGATGACAAATTTTAAGGACAGTGTCAAAACAAAGTCGTGATACTGGAAAAAGCTTACACTGTCAGCTGCCTCAAATCCAAACCAATAAGAAGTGTCTACACAGTTGGAAGAGGAGGTGGCACATCCCACTTATTTAAGGGGCTGACATACTACACAGTGCATTAAACTTTCTACAGCAAAAAAAATCTAGGAAGAGTTGCCAGAGCTGCTCAAGTACATTGTTTCGAAGACACTTCAAACACTGCAAATTCCAAAAGCACATTAAGCTATTTTAAAAAGGGGTTGGAGCATTTAAGTTGCCATTTACTTAAATCGCTTATTATATGAGCAAGATTACTACTGTATACTGAAGTGTCTATAGTTTACTAATTCAGTAAAACAATAACGCCATGAAATAAATCTCTTCCCTTAAACTATTGCAGTGGCTTTCCTTTGCCACTTAATTTCAAAGGAGTCTGCTTTACCGTGGTAGGAACTTACTGTTTCTACCAAGCAATTGGTTGAACAAATCTTAGTAACATCTTGGCCAATGAGAATGTTATATTAGTGGGGCCTCATTTTTCAGAGGTGTTGAGCTCCTACAGCTCCTGTTTACTCTTTTATAGTACAGTTCTGGTGTTCAGCCTGTGAAACATCAGGCCCTTACCCACTTGGGTACTTAGCAGAGTCCTACAACATTTGAGTCATGTCCTCTATAAGGGAGGGAAAAGCAGTCTCTCCATGTTAACCGTGAGGCTTTCTTCTAAGTGAAGTATGAAGATGGGTTCTATTAGGGGAAGGGAGCCTGGCAAAAAATAAGTTACTACACTTCCAGTTTTTCCACAGTCAGTTATAATTTCAACCATACACCAGCATTCAAGGGAAATATATTCAACTTCTAAAAGTGCTTGTTTATCAACTATCTTTACCAATATTTGTGGCAGCACTACCTAGTTAAGGAATACTGCCTTTGCATCTCTTTGAGAATGTACTCCCACCAGGGCAGCTACCAAATATGTAAATTAGAATAAAGTAATTATCCCAGAACCATTTAATCATCTGCAGTTTTGTGGTGGTGCTAGGGAAAGAATGAGATTGAACTGACCTTCATGTGGAAGAACAGCTTCTCTCGATAGTGATAGATAAGGCTACGATTAGGTCATGGAGGTTATGGAATCCATGACTTCCATTGACCTCTGACATTTTCTGCCCTGGGGCTGGAGCTCCCAGCCAGCCCCGCCCTTGCCCTGAACCTGGTGGGGGGACTCAGTGCAGCTGCAGCAGCCGGCCAGACCCGGCACAGCTGCCCAGTAGCAGGCGGACCCCCTGCATCTGCCCAGCCGCAGCTACAGCCAGAGCCAACAGCTGGGGGACCCTGCAGCTACCAGCTGCTCAGGCAAGGGGACCCCCGCAGCAGCCCAGCCCAGCCCCAGGGGCAGGGGGACTCAAGAGCTCCCACGCACCACATTTGTGGGGGACCTGGGAGCCCCAGCAGCAGTGGGTGCTGAACTCACCTATCCCTTTTGTCAGGGATATTTTTAGTGAAAGTCAGGGACAGGTCACAGGGTGCCATGAATTTTTGTTAATTTCCCATGACCGGTCCATAACTTTTACTAAAAATATCCATGACAAAAACTTAGCCTTAGTGATGGATAATGTTCTGCTGCTAGCAAGAGGGCTGAGTACCTATTGCTATGGAAACAGTATCTTTACATTTCCTAATTTTTAAAAGTCTCAGCTAAAACTCATTTCTGCCACTCCTGACATTATCAGCTTACAAATGCAGATCATACCAGATATCCACAAACTACAAACTTTAAAATTTCAAATATCTAGTATATGTACCATTTTTAAGATCTTAAGTGAGACTGTGTTCTCTAACTACTTGGTAGAAGAAAGTATTCTCACATGCAGAGTTTAACCTTCACCTTGTAACCAGATTTGTTAATTCAGAACTGAATGAAGTCTTAGGTTGCACACAAAATGGAGCTGTGGAAGAGACTTTAAAATGGAATCTAATGTTCCTGCCTAGATTCCCACTTTCCTTTGGGAAATAGAGGTTTTGCTACTCGTTTTGCCATTGTTTTGTCCCCAAGTGCCTGCTCTTAAATAGCATTAGCTACAACTTCTATAAAGTTGCAATTCTGAATGAAGGCACAATGAAACTCTACGGCACATGTAGACACCTAACCCAGATCTTCAGCCCCAGCTAGTGGCCCAGGAGTTGCTCTGCTACATAATTTCCATCTTCTGGGGAGCCCTGCCCCTTCCCTTTAAAGGGTCAAGAGCCAAAAAACATTTTGCCACCCAGAGGCAGTGCATCAAATATGAAATTCTGGCCTTTGTATCAATACTTTAAGACTTTTTAATTTTGATAGGAAATCACTGTCACTTAACCCCTGCTCCTCTCCCTACGTTATAGTTCTTGGCTGACTCTTCTGGACTTTAGGTTTGCTTGCCTTGTCAATCCATCTATTTGCAATTGTCTGTCATTGAGTGGTAGCCACATGCTTCCTTGTAATTGATGTAGTCTAATTTTTTGAATGCTTATATGACCATCTGTGATTCCTACCCATTTGATTTTTTTTGCTAACTGATCTAGCCTCACTGGCTAATCATTCATAGTGCCTTGTCACTTAATTCACTAATCATTGTCTGATGCTACTCAGAGCTCTCTTGAATCATTTAGTTACTTCCCTTTTACCTGCCCAGCAGCCGGTACCATGGGTGAGAAACGAACAGCAGCTCCCTGTGCAGCAGATGGAGATGGAATAACTGTCCAGGCCTAGCATGGCTGCTGTGGTTCGCACCTTCTGCACCCCACGTGGGTGCTTGGCTGTTTCAAGCCTCGTGAGAAGTAGGGAGAACTGCCCTGGACTTGTTAGTGCTGTGCCTTTCCGGGTTTGTGTCCAGCATTCATGCTGACTGCTGCAGCATTAGATCTGGCTCACAACTGCCTATGCCCTGGCCTTCAACGTCAGTTTATTTCAATGGTAAATATATCTTCAATTCAAAATAAAACTCTACCTTTTCTTCTTCTCACTCTTTCCCCTCCACTCCAGTCTTAAAACTCTGCCACCTCATTTCCACCAACAGCCAGCCAACCCTTTCACCACCTCAAATGGACCATATCTCTCTGAAGACAGAGTCCAGCTTAGTGACATTTATGTTCTTTACATAGAATTAAATTAGTAGAACTCACTCCAAATTAGCTAATTCTACCATTACCAGATTGTTCCATAAATCACTTCTAGTATTTTGTTGTAAAGTCACACACACTTTGTTGAGTAACCAAGGATCCTCTTCCTTTCCGGTACATACAATACTCGAGAGATGGGGCAAGAAAAGAATGCTACCATATATTGCATGCGAAATGCAAAGGTGTAGCCTAGCCCAGGCAGTTTTTCTTTATAAAAAAAAAAGAAACAGGATATACATTTCAAATTAATGAAATTATTTATTACATGAGAAAGTTAGATTAAGATGTTTTCCAAAGGCCAATTGGAAGTACGTTTAATTTTAATACATATATAACAGATATTAATGGCACTTGACGGGTCTATATCTGAAGGTTTACTATCTAAATTAAGTGCAGCAGCAAGGGAGAACAAAGGGGGAAAGTACGGAAGGACAAGGATTAAAATAGAGACCTGAGATGTTGGTGTACTATATACAACTAACTTTTTTTTTTTAATCATTTCATATTCAAATGTGAGTCCAGTACTCAAAATAAAGGGCATAGTTAGAGTCAGTGCTGGAAGGCTAACAAATAAATTAATCTGGAGACTTAATTGGTTTTTTTTTAAACTATGTGTGGGAGCTGTGCAAAGAGGTAATCTCTGTTGTATAGATTTAGCCTAAACTTATAAAAAAGAAAAGTATTCAGAAAGTTGGGATACATTCCACACTGGAATAATTACACTTTGAGTTTAACCATTGTTTAACCATTCATTGAGATAATTACAAGAAGTCAGAGTAAGCCTTTTATAGGATTTTTTTCTCCCAGGACATGTTAAAATGAGCTCCAGGTTAAAGAGTATTTGATGCAAATTATTCTGCATACTATTTCAGTAAAAAGACAATAGCATTCATGTTGGAAGAGAAAATAAAGTTTAGACTAACGCTTCATTTCTATACAATTGTTTTACACTAATCTTCAAATATTTTTGTTTCATGCCATTAATAGGTAATTCGCTTTTTTTAAAGTAAAATAACACAATTATTGAAAAATTTTAGTAAGGATGGAATACAATAAGATAAAATGACAAAGGCCAATATATAACATATTAGTCTTCAGTGTAGTTTAAAATCTGAAAATAAAGTTATTTACACTAATTCATTGTACATTCCTAATTATAGGAAAGAAAGTTAGAACACAGTTCTAATTTACATAAAATAGTTTGTAGTTCAAATAAGTTCCATTCAAAGTGAAATAGTGGAGTATCACTATGTCTCCAAATGTGCCACTTAAATATCAAATTTCTCTTCACAAATACAGTGTCCATTTTCTTCATAATCTTCTCTAGTTACTACCATGTCCTCAAAATCATCATTTTCAGAAATCAACTTTCCACCTTCCCAAGAATAAGTAATAGGGCTGGGGGGGGGGGGGGGGGAGAAAAAAAAGTTACCACACAAGTTAGTTTTAAATACTTCCAATTATGTAGTAATTTGAAAAAGTGAGACCATCATTTTAGGGTTTTTGTTTAGAAATTAGCCACAGCCATTAATAAAATATAAAACAAGACATTATGCCTATACATTAGGACAATCTGCTGAAAAACTGCATCCATTAGAAAGATGCAACAGGGGGCCTGGCTCAGAGTATTCCAGATCTTTTTAGTGGGTTTATGAAAATTTTAAATTGGTAACCATGTATTTTTTAGGAATGGTAAGTGAGTCCTGCATTGAGCTTCAGCAACAAATATTTGATGAAAACTTTTACAAGTTCATCATTTGTGCTATACCTCACCCAAGTTATATTTTCAAAATGACAGTGTCCATTTAAGGAAATCAGAACAACTTAATTGGGCCAAAGAATGGTGGTGAATTGGTATCAGAACTTATGAGATGACAGCAAGAGCAGGATTTCTATTAAACAGAAGAAACTTTATATAGCTAGATCACAGATCTATATAGAAGAGTGATCATAGGTTTAGCAGAAATACAGAGGCTTCAGTTTAAAACTGTTTTATTACATGAGGCATGTACCAGTTATTTGATTATCATGTTTTGAGGTTCCTCAAAGAGGCCATATATATATATCACATCACACTTCACATTTACAAGGCTAAACTAAAAAAAAAAAATCTGATTAAGTTATTCTTCAAAGGTGAATGGCTTGTACTAACAAAACTGGTTTGGAGCCAGCGGGTATGATACAGTGGTCTAAGCATTTGGTTCAACTTTGAGCTGGACTGTCCAGTCTTCCATCCTTCCACAGTAGATAAAATTCCCATACAACGTATTTATTTGGTGGGGGAGTCTTTAGGATTAGACTTTGAACCTACATTCTCGCTACTCTGCATAGACATTAATGATTCCATAATAATTTTAAGAGAGGTGAATATCTGTCCTGGCACTCCTGACACTGTCAGTGATCCACCCCGCTGCTACTCTCCAAATCCCAGAAGTGCTGCAGGTATCAGTGATATGGTATGTATAATGTTTATAATACTCAGGAATTCTTCAGAATAAGAGATGTGAAAATAATCCCTCTGATCTCGCAAACACATATGCAACAACTGTTAACTTTGCTGCTGTGAATGGTTTCATTAATTTCAATGGAACTGCTCACAGAAGTAAACTTAAGCACACGTGTAAGTGTCTGCAGGATTGCAGCAAGCACAATATAGCTCTGCAAATGCACTTTAAGTACTGAGTTACAACATCCTTCCGGTCCAGTTTTGGGCCACTTGAACAGATTAAGTTAAATGATGGAATATAAAGATGACACAGACAAGCATATTTAATTAGCAGAAGGAATCCTACTTTACAATTTCTATTCTGTTAGGAGAACCAAACAGTAAAATAGATGCATTTTTATTTATATTGTTTAGGACTTACTTTTCTGGCAGAACAACAGAAACGTCATAATCAGTTGGAGTGAGGCATCGAACTTCAGAGTAGACTCGATCCCTGAAGCCTGGGAAAAGGGTATTTCCCCCAGTCAGAACAATATTCTTGAAGAAGTGAGGCTGCATTTCTTTAAACAAAACCAAAATAGATGTATTTAGCTTAAGATTCTCCAATTTCTTCATGAACAGTAAGTTAAAGTGGACAAGAATTAAAACTAATGTTTTTAAATACTTTAGATAATGTTTTAAATATATTAAATACATACTGGTTATATTTAGATAAAGGGTATTTCATGGATAACTGTAAGCCATAGGATGTGCACATACCAAGAGGCTCCACTAATTAACTGATAATCACAAGTGTGAAACTAGTTTTCTTGTGTGACAGGTGAATTTGATGAACGGCACCCTTTTTAAATAAGAAAACTTTCATTAGTGTCCCTCCAGTTTGTGTGGCTTTCAAAATTTGTCTTTTAGAAAGTTATTTAAAAATGTTGGATTTCATGAATGCTCTCAAACAGCCCTATTTAGGGGAAAGCAATAGTATCAACGTACAAGAGATTTTAATTTTCATATTTTTAGAATGAATGTAGTTTTGTGGCTCTGATGCTACAGCTGTGAAGTGACACCACATAGTCATGAAAATTTTCCCCTGCGGAAGTTTGGCCATATTCATTAGAAATGTATCTACATACCTAGTAACATGACAATGCACATGTTATAATTGTTACTTCCACAGAATACAACACAGCCAGAAGGGTGATTAGTTTTCATTTTTAAGATTCAGTGGCCTCATTTGCCAGCATATTGTGGCCAGCATGAATTCCCTCCTCTCCCAACACTAAAAGACATTTTAAAATAAAAATGAAATTAAGTTCAAGTGCAGTCATGAGGATTCCATCCTCAGAGGAAAGAATTCAATGTAGTTGTGTTTTGTACTGGAAAATGAACTCATGAGGTTTCCATCCATACTGTTATACTTTATCTGAAGCACAAATAGAAACCAATCAGTTTACCAGAGTAAGCAAGCATTTCCACAACAGGAAATATTAAAGGAAACTGCAAAAGAGCAACTGACATTCACAAGGAGTTAAAACTGTTGCACTTTTAATCAATTTTTAGTTCCTTGATGCCTGGCACATAAAGTATGCTAGACTTCTGATACACTTTGGATTCTAACAAAAATATTCAGACTTCAAGAATACATTTCAAAATATTGCTACCACTATACCTTCAGGCAAGTTCTGAATTGAATAAACAATGGCTTCAGGAATTCCCATTTCTTGAATGCCAATATCTGAAGGATGGAAGATAATTTCTGGAACAGCAAATCTCTCGTTTGCTAGACGAAGTATTTGTTCCCCAGTCTTGTATTTTCCACTTAACACCATTTCTTCCCTTGGCTAAATTAGGCAGACATGAATGATAACTACGTCTTAAAAAGGGAAGAACACACACAAGAGTAACAAGTTTATCTGATCTCATTGTTTACATATTATTCACCTGTTATGGATGTTTTGAAGGAAGTATCTTCTATATATTAAGTCACGTATCATGCACAAGTCTTAGGGAGCTGACATCTGTTCCAGAATGCTTTGTAATCCCTTACTCTATAGTCTTTAAGCATGAGAATTGTGTCCAATGTTTACTTTTTACTGCCATACTGAGCAGACAGTGGTGTCAACTTGAATAGCATATGAAAACATTTTGGTGCTGCATTTTTGAAGGAGCCCCATTCCAGCCTCTGCACTGACACCTGCAGTTTTGCCTATGCAAGATTAGTGCACACTTAGGTACTTTTGAAAATTTTACCCTACTTCTCTAAATGACACTTTTACCAATAAGCAATTTTTAGAAGTCTGAGTATTGGATTTGTGTTATTCTAGCAGGAGAATATTTTTTTACCCTTGTAACTCAAAAAAGATATTTGATCCTTGCAAAAAATATATTGCCTTAGGATGGAATACAGGCATGGAAAATTTCAGCTCCAAAAGGTGAGTTATTAACAAAAGAAACAGGAAACTATAATGGAAGACAGTATCCCATTCTTAATTATCGCAATTTCTATTGGTAACCATGCTAATAAAATTTATCCACAACACTTATTGACTATAACGTAAGTGTCTGAGTTCCAGGAAGTAGCAAAACTTCTCAGGATAGCATGTGAAAACAGCTGAAAGATACCAGAAACAGAATTGTGCCTTATGACTACACTTTGATATAGAGCTATTAAATTACAGCAAAGGAAGTTATATTTAACTAGGCTTGGCAGCATTCGATTTTAAAATTGATAACTATCAGCAAACATCATTTCAACTGATACACTGAAATCAACAAAAAAATAGTCACTAATAGTTGAGGTGCCTGCAAAGATCAGTTGTCACTAGCCATGAGGAGAGCCTTTTGCAGCCCTGCTGTAATAGGAGTGAGTGAGTGGGTTCCCTGTGCTGTCTCAAGGCTGGTGACACCTGATTCCTGCAGGCACAACGTGCAATGGTGAGGCTGCAGTCCTGGCTAGGCAGAGCAGAGGCTCCTAGCCACAACGACCGCAAGGAGGAGGAGGCCAAGCCCCCAGCTGTGTGGGAGGCCACACAGCTGCTGAATGGCTTCTGGGGCAGTGAAGGGACCCCTCTCACTTACAAGCTGGGAGTCTGCTCTGCCCTGCCAGGACTACAGTCTTCCCCACACTGGACCCACTATCATGCAGGGAGTCCTCTGCAGCTCCACTATCATGGGAGTGAGGGAGGAGGGCCATGACAGCAGAACTGCAGAGGGTTCCCTGCACAGCAGTGGGGCCAGTGAGACCCGATCCCGGCATGCTCAAGGTGTGTGGGAGGGTGCAGTTGTCCTGGCTTAATGGAGCAGAGACCCCTGGCTAGGACTGCAAGGAGTATGATGAGCTGGCGGCTGCTGGGGAGCAGTTCCTGCCTGGTGAGTGAGTGGGGCCAGTGACACGGGATCCTTGCAGGCACAAGGTTCAGGGAAAACTGTGGTCCTGGCTCCACATAGCAGAGATGCCCAGCCAGGACTGCAAGGAGGAGGAAGGGGGAGGAGTTGTTGTCATCCCCAGCCACAGGGGAGGTCACCCTGATGCTGAATGGCTCCGTCCCCAGGAAGGAGCCATTCAATAGCAGATGGCCTCCGCTGCGGCCAGCGACATGTCCTCCTCCTTGAAGCCCTGTGCAAGGGTGTCCGCTATGCCCCACCAGGAGCCTTCCCTACACCATGTGCCTGCAGGGATCCAATGTCACTGGCTCCACAGCTGTGCGAGCCCTCTGCAGCTCCACTGTCATAGCCCCACTTGCTCACTCACCAGCCAGGAGTGTGGGCAGGAACTACAGAGCAGTGGGGCGGTCTCCCACACAGCCAGAGCCTCATCCTCCTGCTTATAGTTCTGGGCAGGAGTCCCTGCTCCATCAGGCCAGGCCGACCACAGCTTCCCCCGCACCTTGCGCTCTGGTGTCTTGGGCCCTTTGGCTGCACAGGGAGCCCTGTGCAGCCCTGCTGTCAGCACTGCCTTAACCCCAACTGCAAAAATAAAAAGTTAAAAATTGAAAAGTATTATTAAAAATCATATTAGAAAAAAAATGAAAATCAAATTCTGCCACGCCTAATTATAGCTAAGGCTGCAAGTCTTTCAGGGAGGTCACGGAGGTACTGGAAAAATCACGGAATCTGTGACCTCTGTGACTTCTGCAGTGGCCGGTGTGGCTGACCCCAGGGCCACCTGAGCAGCTGAGGCAGCCCTGAGACCAGCCATACCGGCCACTGGTCAGCTGGCCCCGAGCAGCTGGTCCAGGGCCAGGCCCCAGGGCGCCCCGTCCCCTGGAGAAGCAGCGGTGGGAGTCCCTGCCCCAAGCACCTAAATTTTAATTAGCAGTATTTATATAGTGCAAGTCATGGACAAGTCAGGAGCTGTAACTTTTTGTTTATTGCTCGTGACCTCTCCATGACTTTTACTAAAATACCTGTGACTAAATCATAGCCTTAATTATAACCATATAACAAGCAACAGGTAAGAGAGTTTTGAGAAGGTGATCAAAATTAGGACATAACATACTTCATATTTTACACTGGAATGAGAAATACAGGGCTAGATTGAGATACTGAGCCTATGGTATTATAGCTGATTTTCAGATGTTGGATAAAATATCTCGGAATACCTACATGACTTTGAAAATTAGTTAAACTTGAACCCTTATGTCACTTAAATTTTTTTTTTGAAAATTTTACCAATTAATTCCTAACGCAGAAAATATTACCAGTCAGTATCACAAAAAAAAAAAACAACCCACCACTCCTCCCTCACTACCAAGGAAGATCAAGAAAAGAGAGTATTCCAGAAAAGGCTGTCAGCAATAATTACCTTACAAAACCCTTTTTTGATTGTGCTGAAGTCTGGCAAAACATAGTCTATCATTACTGTATTTTCTTCCCCTTTCAACCTGGAAAAGACAACAAACTTAGAATAGAACATAGCTAAAATATGCCAAATCCTGGAGGCCGTACTCAGGTAAGAGTCTCTTTCACTTAAGGGGGAGTTTTGCCTGAATAAGGATGGTAGTATTTGGCTCTACACAATTAGATTATTTGGAACTACCTCCTTTCAAATTTGGCAAGATAGTAAACTTACTTAGCAATCTCCATATCTTTGTAAAAATCCTGAGATACATAACATACATCTTCTTTCACTTGATTAATTACATGAGTTTCATCCATAACGTGTAGCTGCCTATAAAAAAATAAAAAAGTTAGAAAACAGATCATCCTGAACATACATTTATAATTATTCTTTTTCACTATTGATCAGTTCTTACAGTTTTCAAATTGCAAGAAGTTGACATTTTAATATGTCGAGGTTTACATTAACTTATATATAAGCAGTTTTGACATCTAAAAATTAGAGAGTATTTTTACTCTTTAATTCAAACAACGTAAAGCCGTCAACACTAAGAACTGTGGCCACAATCTTGCATCCGGTTCTGCTAGCAAAGATGCCTGCACAGGGTCAATTATAGGGGATCCCAATACAGGATGCGAGCCTTAGTGCAGGGGTTCCCAAACTTTTTACTAAGGTGACTCACCAACCGCCTTTTGTCTTTTTTTGTGACTCACCATTATATATAAACATCTCCATCTCATCACCATAACCCTAATCCCTACCCAGTGCGGAAGGGAGACGCCAAAAGAGGAGAGGTTAGAGAATGAGCCTGCCACACACACTCTGCAGCATCAGCTCCTGCCTTGTGGGACTGTGCTACACTCCGGATTGCCAGGCCAATTGGTATTTGAGCGAGTGTTATGGATGAGGGACAGCTGAGCCAGACCTGAGTGGCACAGCAACCCCATGCGCCTGGTCGCAACACCCAGAATGGGGAGTCAGGCCGAGCCCAGTGGGACAGAAGCCACCGCTATGGGGTGACTGCAAAGTAGGCTCACTCACTGACTGCACCCCTTCCTCCCAGGGCATCTCCTCCACACTGGGCTGGGGAAGTATATGTTTACCTAGGGCCCCACGACCCATCTAGAACCTTCCTGCAAACACTGCCTTAGTGAGTTCTACTCACTGTTCAGGTGGAATTAAACTGTCAATTTCTCAGAGCTGTGCCATCTTATCGGTCAAGTGGAAATCTGGCTACAGCTTTATTACTATAATGACATTTCAAAATAAATGTGATAGGGCCTGATTCTGTAAGGTACTTAAGCATATGTGTAACTTGAAGCACACAAGAAATCCCAGTGAATGGGACTACTGACATTCTTAATATTATGCAACTGCTTTAAGTACTTTACTAAACTAGAGTCTTAAGGTGTTAAAATGGTAGCTGAAGCTCAAGATGTCATTTTACAGGCTTTCCTCTTCCTCAAAGAGGGCTTAATCCTAAACTTAATTTAATTAAAAGACGTCCGTTAACTTTAATTGGCTTCTAACCAGGCCTCAAGTGTCTACAGTTAGCACAATTTTACCTGTAAGAGATTATCTCCTTTAGATGATTGGTTAAGAGCTTTCCTCCAACATTAATCCTAAAAAGAAATAAATATTTTCTGTCATTATTCACTTCAGACATATCAAAAAAGCCACCTGTAAAGAAATAAGGCAATTTACCTAATAATTGCCTCTTTCTTCTTTTTACTTCTGCAGTAAGGTACAATATGTGTAAAGGAGTAGCCACTGTCCACAATGATACAACATAGCTCGGATGGATTGTCCCGGAAATATCTATGTGCACTGAGAGCCCCAGCTGAAACACAAAAATGCCAACCCATATTTATATAAATCTAAAATATATCTAAATAGATATAGTACCTATCCCATATTTTAGGTGCCTTTGGCAGATCTTCGGTAACTCAATACAGAATAGCTCCAGCAGCATAATTTCACCCACAGCCAAAATTAATCAAACATAATACCCCACCTTCTCTCAAGAGAACAGACTTTATTCAGCTCTGTCCTTCCCCAAAGCCCAAGTAGATGGATTTTGCAGTGTGCCCAGGTGATTCATAGATTCCAAGGCCAAAAGGGACCGTTTTGATCATCTAGTCTGACCTCCTGTCAGAACTTCCCCAAAATAATTCTTAGAGCATATATTTTAGAAAAAGATCAAACCTTGATAGAAAGGTTGTCCGTGATGGAGAATCCACCACAACATTTGGTAAATTGTTCTAATGGTTAATTACCTCACTGTTAAAAATGTATGTCATTTTTCTAGTCTCAATTTGTCTAGCTAGTCAATTTTCAGGTTATTTTTGACCAATTATATAACATCTTTCATTCCCACAGTACTTTATATAAAGGAGTAACTTAATCAGGCATTGAAATACAGTCACTGCTGGAGTGGAATGTGACAACAATTCTAATAGAAACACTACACAAACTCAAGGGGGGGATGTTGGAAGGGAAGCATACCTTTTAAAATACTTGTTGTACAACAGTTATACAGCTTTCCACACATACTCCTCGACCAAGAAGCTACATTTTCAGTTAGAGCTAGTATTTGAACATTATAATTATTTACTTCATTAATCTAAAAAAATTCTGAAAAAGTGAGATTACAAATGCTCTTCACTATGTATACAAAAAGATTCTTCTTTGCATTTATTTAAACTAAAAAACATCAAGATAAGGAAATACATCTCTATGTCATCTTTTAATTGTGGTATTCCATTTGGCATTTTAAGATCTTGTTTAAAGCTCTTAACAGTTCCACTGCATTCCCTTGTTAAAGTACATGTAAAGAAATCCATTTGAGAGCATGCAAAACAAAATAATATTTTTCCCACTTGAAAGAACTGACAATCTCAAGATGACATTTTCAAAAAAAGAGGAATTAAAAGTGGTTTGAGGAACCACGCTGCCCGTCCCCTAAGTCTTCATTGGGTATTTGTGATTTGACAGTCTCAGAGGAATTTAAATACTGGGTAAAACAAACTGGAAAAAGGGAAATAGTTCTCCTTCTCCACCAGCTTTCTAGTTACACTCGTGTGAATATTAACTTTGTGCCCCTTTAATTATAAATGATAGCTGCACTGATTTCTTAGTTTTGGCTATAAACATCACAAACAGACACAATATCCCTGAAAAGAAAGAGAATCCACTCTAATTCTAATTATGCTGGGTATTCTGTAGAACTGTAGGAGCAAGAAACTTTACAAACTCACAAATGGATTAAAGAAGCTTTTAAAAAAAAGACAACGGAGTGCATCATAACCTGAAGTTATCTTTATGAGAAAGACTGTCTTTTGAACCATAATTTTCCTTAGTATATATACACCTTAAAAAGTACAGTAGAACCTCAGAGTTACGAACACCAGAGTTACGAACTGACCAGTCAACCACACAACTTATTTGGAACCGGAAGTATGCAATCAGGCAGCAAAGACCCTACCCCCCCAAATAAAGGCAAATACAGTACAGTATTGTGTTAAACATAAACGACTAAAAAAAAAGTGGCAAGTTTAAAAAAAGATTTGATAAGGTAAGAAAACTGTTTCTGTGCTTGTTTCATTTAAATTAAAGGCAGCATTTTTCTTCTGTATAGTAAGTTTCAAAGCTGTATTAAGTCAATGTTCAGTTGTACACTTTTGAAAGAACACCCATAACATTTTGTTCAGAGTTACAAACATTTCAGAATTATGAACAACTTTCATTCCCAAGATGTTCATAATTCTGAGGTTCTACTGTACTTCCAAAGAGGAAACATACAAACACAGGGCCCATTTATATATTCTGCTCCCATTTATATCAATAAAAGCATGATCAGGCCCACTGTGTCCAATGTGTAATAAAAAATTCACATGAATAGTTTATATTAAGTCTATGTTCAGTGACTTGAATTTTTGAAATATTTTTCAAAAACAAAGAAAATTGCGACTATAAAACATTCCCCAGAAAAAGGTAAAAAAATTATTTTATATGTTTAAATCTAAGATAGATGATGACTATTATTTCAAGGCCAGTTTTAAAAAAAGAAACCAACACATCTTTCCTGTAATTTCAGCATAACACTACCACTACTGAAATTTGTTTAGAGTTCATCTAAAACGTGACTGAAGAGCTTGCAAAGACCCTCCCCACATGCACTGAAAAGTCATCCCTCCCCTACTTTTATATCATCATCAGAAAGGGCACTGTATGATGATTCATGTCACTAATTTCATGTGTTCTGCAGAATAGGATGTATTATATAGGATGTATTGTAGCACTATATTTCATGGGCCACTTCAAAAAGTGAATGAGAACTGTCAGAAACTCCATACAAATATAGCCAAGAAACAAGTAGTAGTGCAGTCTCTTTCACATACTACCTCATTTCAAGAAGTCTCAAACATTCCTGTCATCAGAAGCCAACTTAAAAACAGAACCTTGACAGAAAGGAGCTTCAAGACAAAAGTGACTTTCTGCCTACACTGATTTCCCCCCATTTCACTTTGTGTTTCTTGCTGTTACATATCAGAATCCTCACACTAAATTATTATAAATATAGAGAAATATAGAAGAAACATTAGATGTGTATGCACAATTGAATATAGGTTAGAGAAATAAAAAGTTACATACTACTCTATAGAGTCAGGGAAAGAAATGAAGTAATTTCCTTGGCACATTATTTTTAAATTGGGAAGTTAGCCTGGAGCACATTAATGCAGAGCAACAAAATATATACTCACCATTTACTCTAAGAACTGCTTGAAATTGATATTCTTCAAATAAAATTTCATTCATAGAGTCTTGTATTGAACTGAAGTTAAAATAAGGTTCAGTAATAATAATATTTGTATCTACAAAGTCCACCTAGGAGAAAAAAATAAAGTTCTGTTCCCAAACAACATTTTAGTAACCACTATCCATATTACTTACATTTTTTGGTATGTAACAACCACCATGCTGTATAAAATTGCCCCCAGGCCTATTATAGATATCAGTGCTACCAGCTACTTGTGGCACATGGGTTATGGGGAAAAAAAATTAACAAGCAACAGTATGTGCACCGTCACTGCTACACCACACAATGTGTTAACATTTTTCAGGACAGAATAGAATTCCTTCATTTCCCTGACCTATGCCCCTATTTTTAATGTTGTGGCTCTTAAGAACAACCTATCCCTTTATCTTTCCTCTACACTTCAATGGGTAATAATAAAAGAATATTTAACGTGTATACAAGAAACTTTACCCTAGTCCTACTAACTACAGAAGAGAATTTCTCTTCAGAACTCTGCCACTTGTATAGAAGCTTGGCTCTTCTAGTAACCTGGGTAATATCCTGGCCCCAGTGAAGTCAACGGCAAAACTCACACTGACTTCAGTAAGGCCAGGATTTCATCCCTGCTCTTTCTGCACGTACTCAGTTGTCAGACTTTCTAAAACAGGCCTTCACTAAGGTGTTTTCACCATAATGGGACTCAATGGGAACTAGAACACACAGGTCAACAGTTCCTTTCTTTGGTGCTCATTCTGCAAACCAGTACCAAAACCACGGCAATAACGAGTTTTTTTAATGAACCCAATAGTTTAAAATCTTAAACCAGCCCAATTTCCCCACCCAAATCTATACAAAGATATTTTGAGGAGTTATTTTGGCTCCCAACATGTTCCCTTTTAAGTATTGTAAAGACCAGTTTTATAAGTTAACATCATCATATTTATTTCTTATGAAAAAAATTTAAGGCTAAAGCCGCCAACGCTCTTTTCATGCTAAACCATGTTGGTGAGGTAAGCAAAATAATATTCTATTAATACACTTTATAAATTCAACTTATTCATTATAAAAATGAGAAATTTATGCAGAAAATGACTACTTGATCCCACAAGACTGTCACAATGTAAATCTCAGCCCTTCTTCCACTTCTGTAACTGTCTCCTTCATGCAATAAAACCTGGTTCTTCAAATAAGTTATACTAATTAAGTCTATGAAAACAATTATTAAGTAACTTTTACTAGCTGAAGCGCCAATCTTGCAAACACATGTTTAACTTTACTCAGGTGACTAGTCCTACTCAAGTCACCAAAACTACTTGTGTGAATAAAGTTAAACATGGGCTCTAGTTTGCAAAGTCATGGCCTGAGTGAACAGAGTTCAAAATCATAGGTAACGCAATTTCCTAAATTTTAGATGCCAGTCTTTGTTGAATACTCCTGCAAAATTCATAAATTGGTGAATTCACCATTATATCCATGATTTGGAGTATTTTTGTATTACCTCTAGTAATTGTTTTAAATCTGTATTCATAGATTTTTGTTTCTTAAGTGTTTTAGTTACCTGATACATTTCCTTTCCAAAAAGGTAATCCCAAACCTGTCTCTGAACATCCCAGTTCACCAAGTAACCCTATGGAAGTTTTGGGGGAAAAAAGACATTATTTATAAGACAACATTGCATATTTATTAACTACTCCACATCTGCAGAATTTCAGGCTTCCATCAGTAATTGTTAGATGGACTGATAACCTAACAAAATTCAGAAATAAGAGCTTCTTCTTTAAGATTATGGAAGCCCTTCCAAACCTATTTAAATGGGTAAATGTTGTGCAGCTACAAGCAAGAAGATCCAAAGATAAGTGATATTGTACCTCTGTTGTTCCCTATCATTTAGTTTAAATTATTGCATAGTAAGTTTACCATAATATGAATCATGCTTCCTAAATCAGTATCTGGTTGTAGGTTATGGAAGCCACACTTCAGACTTGATACTGAAGTTACACTGCTGTATCTGAAGTTTGTTTTAAATATTGTTTATGCCTCTACAGTTGTAGCATATTGCATATATTAAACAAACATTCATAGAATATTAGGGTTGGAAGAGACCTCAGGAGGTCATCTAGTCCAATCCCCAGCTCAAAGCAGGACCAACACCAACTAAACCATCCTAGCAAAGGCTTTGTCAAGCCGGGCCATTTGAGCATTGGCCTGCTAAACCCAGGGTTGTGAGTTCAATCCTTGAGGGGGCCATTTAGGGATCTGGGGCAAAAATCTGTCTGGGGATTGGTCCTGCTTCGAGCAGGGGGTTGGACGAGATGACCTCCTAAGGTTCCTTCCAACTCTGATATTCTATGATTGAGATTCGACCACCTCTCTAGGTAACCCATTCCAGTGTTTCACCACCCTCCTAGTGAAATAGTGTTTCCTAATATTCAACCTAGACCTCCCCCATTGCAACTTGAGACCATTGCTTCTTGTTCTGTCATCTGCCACCATTGAGAACAGCCTAGCTCCATCCTCTTCGGAACCCCCCTTCACGTAGTTGAAGGCTGCTATCAAATCCCCCCTCACTCTTCTCTTCTGCAGACTAAATAACCCCAGTTCCCTCAGCCTTTCTTCATAACTCATGTGACTCAGCCCTCTAATAATTTTTGTTGCCCTCCGCTGGACTCTCTCTAATTTGTCCACATCCCTTCTGTAGTGGGGGGACCAAAACTGGACGCAATAATCCAGGTGTGGCCTCATCAGTGCCGAATAGAGGGGAATAATCACTTCCCTCGATCTGCTGGCAATGCTCCTGCTAATACAGCCCAATATGTCGTTGGCCTTCTTGGCAACAAGGGCGCACTGCTGACTCATATCCAGCTTCTCGTCCACTGTAACCCCTAGGTCCTTTTCTGTAGAACTGCTGCCTAGCCATTCGGTCCCTAGTCTGTAGCAGTGCATGGGATTCTTCCGTCCTAAGTACAGGACTCTGCACTTGTCTTTGTTGAACCTCATCAGATTTCTTTTGGCCCAATCCTCCAATTTGTCTAGGTCAATCTGGACCCTGTCCCTACCCTCCAGCATATCTACCTCTCCCCACAAGCTTAGTGTCATCTGCGAACTTGCTGAGGGTACAATTAATCGCATCATCCAGGCCATTAATAAAGATGTTGAACAAAACCAGCCCCAGGACCAACCCACCACCTGTAATAGACTATAATAGACCCTTAACCCACAGCCTGTAATAGACTGCATTGCTAAATCTATAAAGCATCTTAATTACCTTTTGAAAAGGGAGAATGTAAAAGAGTCCGGAGGGATCTTTAATTTCATCCAGTTGATTGGCTGTAAAAGTTTTCAAACGTGCTGTTTTTGATCTAAACTGGCAGTTGGGAATAACACTGAAAAAAAGTTAAGAATGTTTTCCTGTACATCATATCATATATGAAATTAAAAAAAATCATATTATGCATTTTCACATCAATTCCATAAATACTTCCTTTTCCATAATATTCTGTGACCGTATTTTTTAGAAAATAGCGGTTACCCTGGTTACTGCAAAACCAGAAGATTGTTTTATTGTCTTGCCAATGACTCAACATTCAGAATCAAACAGTAAAGTGCTAAAAGAAATTACAGAAACTTCCAACCACAGGTTAAGAACATTTTCCTTAACAATCACATTTTTTTGGTTGCAAACTGGCCTGAGACAGTTGCCCAACACTAAATGGTCTGGGCCTAGGATACATGAAAAGATCACTTAAGGCTATAAGATAAGGACCATAATCAATAACATGAAGTTAAAGCAAGAAAAAAATCAAATTAGAAATAAAAATTCCCCCCACTTTTTTTTTATTTTAAAACAGCGTGGTGATTAACCACAAACTGCCAAGGAAATGGTGGAATGTCCATCTCCTGATGTCTTCAAAGCTGGATGCCTTTTTCTGGAAGATATGTTTTAGTTGGCAAGGTTCAGGGTTAACTAACTGAAGCTTTGCCGGTGCAGCTCTCTGGTACCGGGATGAGAATACTGTTGCTACACTTTGTGTAAAATCTAAGCAGAAGGGAGCCCCCCCCACTTTGAAAATTACCTCAGCCTTCCCTAGGGTTGCCAACTTCCTATTGGCTCAAAACCGAACACCCTAGCCCCACCTCTTCCCCAAGGCCCCGCCCCCCATTCACTACATCCCCCCCCCCCCCCACTCAGTGGCTCACTCTCCCCCTCACTCACTTTCACTGGGCTGGGGCGCTAAATGGGGGTACAGGCTGTGGGGTGGGGCCAGAAATGAGGGGTTCAGAGTTTGGGTGGGGGCTCCGGGCTGGGGCAGGGAATTGGGGTGTGGAGGGGGTGAGGGCTCCAGCTGGGGGTGTGGGCTCTGGGGTGCAAGAGGAGGCTCCAGGCTGGGGGGTGGGGCCGAGCGATTCGGAGTGTGTGTGGGGGAGCTCTGGGCTGGGGGGCAAGGGGGTGAGGGCTCTGGGGTGTGGGCTCTGGGGTGGGGCCAGGGATATGGGTTTTGGGGTATAGGAGGGGCTCTGGGTTTGGGGCAGGGCTCAGAGTTGGGGCACAGGTTTACCTCCGGTGGCTCCTGGTCAGCAGCGCAGCAGGGCTAAGGCAGGCTGCCTGCCTGTCCTGGGGCACCGCGCTGCGCCCTGGAAGTGGCCAGCAGGTCCGGCTCCTAAGTGGGGGAAGGGGGAGGCAGGAGGCTCCACAGTGTGCGCTGCACTTCCCAGCAGGGACCGCCCCCCAGTTCCCACTGACCGATCTGGTGCTCGGGGCGGGTGCAGCGCGTGGAGCCCTGTGCGCCCCCACCGTCACCCCAGAGCCGGACCTGCTGGCCGCTTCTGGGGCACAACGCGGTGCCCCAGGACAGGTAGGGACGAGCCTGCCTTAGCTCTACAGCACTACCAACCAGATTTTTAGCAGCGTGGTTGGCTGTGCTGACCAGAGCCGCCAGGGTCCCTTTTCAACCAGGTGTTCCGCTCAAAAACCGGACACCTGGTCACCCTAGCCTTCCTGCTCCTGGGCTGCCCCACCCGCAGCACTTGTTCCCCTTGCAATGCAGGCAGCAGCAGTATTGCCAACTTCACAAGATCAAAAATCATGAGTTGAACCCTCAAAAATAATGAGATTAGCCCAAAAATCATGAGGGGTTGTTTTTTTAAGTTTACATTATGTTTTTAGGTGAGTCTCTTGATTTTTGAACTCCCCCTACCCATCCCCAGGGTGTGTGCAGGTGACAATTAGTAGTGTTACTAACTCTCCCACATGTATTGGATAAAGTGATTTTGGCCCCTGCTGCAGGAGCTCTCACCCCCACATATCCCTCTCCTGCCCAGCAATTAATCCTGTCCCCACCCAACCCACCTCACTTCAATTCAACCTCCCAGCCCCCATCATCACCACCCCATTAGATCAGCCCCCCTAACCAATCAACCCACACTGCCCTCAGTTCACCTTCCCATCACTCACCCCACCTGTTCAGAACCACCATTAATACAGCCCTCCAACCTCATCAGCCCGTACCCATCTCACTTCAGCACCCCTGAAGCCACCAGGTCATAATTCAACCCTCCCAGCCTGACCCCTGCTCCTCTTTGGGTTCTTTTCCCTCCCCAGGCCTGGGGAGGCTACAGTGGGGTCCTCTCTCTCACTTCCCAGGCTGACATTGGGGAGCTTCAATCAACCAGGGCTGGTTGACAGCGGGAGCCCCGGGGGGCTGTAGCTTCTGCTGTCATCCCTGGTTGGCTGACAACGGGAGCACCAATCAGGGCAGGCTGACAGCGGGAGCCTCACCACATGGTGGACGGAGCTCCTGCTGTCAGTCCGCCCTGTCCCGGGGCAGGCTGACGGCAGGCGCCTCACCTCACAGGGACTCCCCCAACCAAGTGGCTGTGGCTCCTGTTGTCACGCTGACAGCAGGCGGTCCGGACACCAGAGGTAGACTAAGGACCGGCTGGCAGCAGGAGCCCCAGCGGCCACAGCACTTTCTAGGTAAAATTAATCCTGACTAATGACCTGGGGCACTGGCTCAGCACCCACCAGCCACAGCTATTTGGGGGCAGGGTCTCCGATCAGCTGTTTGGCAGCTGGGGAAGGGCAAAGAGCAGGGAGCGGGGAGTCTCGAGGGAGGGGGCAGGGCTTTGGGGAAGGCGAGCGGGGTGGGGCCACCGGGAAACACAAATGTCAGCGGCTGGGATGTGGGGAGCCTGGGGACTGTTCCCCGACCGTGAGTCAGGCTCAGTTTTACTCCAAAATCGCACCTATCGCGCTTAACTCCGGGGAGGCGGCATGTCCGCAGCCACCAGCGCAGCGGCAGGACCGGGGCGGGGCTGGATGTAACGGGCTCACAGACTCCCCATGCGGGGCCGGGCCTGCAGCAGGAGCCGCCTCGCCACCTTTCGGAGCTAGAGCCGATAAACCAACGGAGCCTGAGCGGCGGGGGCCGCCTCACGGGCTCTCGCGGGAGCAGGGACCCGGCGGCGGCGGCTCTCTACCGTGCGTGGCGCCGAGCACCGCAGGGAAGCCGCACAGGGACCGGGCTCTCGGCGGGTGCGGGGGCCTCACCTGACGTGCGCGTGGCTGTAGCCGATCTTGGCATTATAGGCGCCGTTATCCAGCACCAGCGTCGCCATCTTCCTTCCGGCCCTAGCCCCGCCTCCACCTCCTCGGCGAGCAACTCATCTGTGCTTACCATAGAGTCTGAGCGGCGGGACGTGTGCGCGCTGCATGATGGGGAGGGGGAGGACTCCGGGCGAGCCCCGGGGACGCAGCGCGCACGGCGCGAGAGGGCTGATCACACGTGGTGTTCAGTCCCGCCCTCGGCTTTCAGCCATGACACTGGAGGCAAAGGCCTGAGAGGACCGGCCTGCGGGGAGGAGGGAAGAGTCGCCCCTTCTGGTTCTGATGCGTCCTACGCGAGGCCGCAGCTCTGCACCTGCTGGAGCTTGCCCTGAGGGATGAGGCGCTACGTCCCCAGGGCGGGGAGGCACAACGGGCTCAGGGATGCAGAGCATAGGCGTGCGAAGCACATTTCATTAGGGTGTGCACCCAGGGGATTTTTTTTTTAAAGGCGAACATCATAAAGGGTGGGGCGTGGGAGGGGGTGCTGTGTGCAGGAAGGGGCTCAGGGCAAGGGATTGGGGCAGAGGAGGGGTGTATGGGGGGCTCGAGGGAAGGGGG